TGAAGCCAACTGGTTTTGCATCATCGAGGCTACATCCGCCCGAAGCGCAGCCATAGCCTCTTCTGTGGACTTGCTGGTCGCATCCATCGAGTTCGTAAGATCGTAGATCGGGGAACGTCGTGTCCGTTCGCGTCATTGAGTCGCATATGAAGGTCCACGTCGCGAAAACGAAGGTAGTCCAGGCATTCCTGAATCGTACCCGGTTGCGTCTCCAACCCATGGATGCACGAGGCCACGCCAGGGTCTTTGCAACCGTCGATGAAGATCTGCACCGCTTGAGAATATCGCAACTCGAGATCTTGGGTGGCATCCTTGATACGCCACGCGTATTCCCGGACGGGTCTTTCGCCTTGCGGATACTGTTCTGCGTAATTTCGGCCATCTTCGCGCTCATGCTCTTCTGTACAAACTCCTTATAAAATGCGCTTCTTGTGCTGCGCCAAGTCCGGTTCGAGCTTTCGCGGTGAAGACGGGCCCACCAATCCTGGACAGTACGGATCTTCGACTCGGTCACGCGGTATTCAAAGATGCGGATGAGCTCGATATCCGTCAGCTCGAACTCAATCTGAAGGTCGTCGAGATGTCCCAAGAAATGGTTCACTTGCAACTTGTCCACACTTTCGAGCTTCAGCGATTGCTTGCGGGCGTTGCCCACCAACGAATGTCGATCCGCCGGCGCTGGCCGACGGGAGTATGGGTCCGCACCAAACCGTGAATACGGAGCCGGACCTCCACCGCCATCACCACCATTCCCTCCGGATCTGCCGCCGCCCCCACTGAGTCCACCCGAACCATATGCGCCTTCTCCAAACCAGCGAGGATCGTTCCCTTCACCTCCATCGCCACGGCCACTCTTAGGGGCAGGTGCGGACCGGTACGGCTCCGGACGAAGCGGGGCGTGCGTTCCCATCGTCGAAGCCAGAGCCGGCTCCATAACTGAATGCTCGTTCCCGCCATGTACACCGGTATACTATGACTCGTCGGAAGGAACGGAGTCTGCATCGTCTTCAAGGTGTCAAAGATGGCATTCAATTTGTCAGTCACTCAACCTTTCGAGGGGTGTATACCAAGGACCAGAGTCCGGTCGATCGTGAAGTCAGAGCCCATGACCGTAGAAGAAACCGAAGAACCACCAGACGGGGCTCGCCATACTTGTACCGTCGAGTCATGCAAGTAGTCAGGTTATTCAACGGGATGCGCTGTTTCATACCCCACAGCAGAGACGACGTTGGGTTGGTTCGGGGTTGCTGGCGGCACGCGAAACAGTTCCAGCCGTTCTGACAGAAGTCGGATATCGTTCCGCCTGCATCGCGATGTTCATCTCACGACGCTCCAAATCCGCTTGTGAACGGTCGTTTGACAACTGAGTCAACCACGATCGGCGCTCCTCGTCAAACAGGGTCCACGTAAGCGTTCGCTTGGAAGGGCAAGTTGTTGCATGCCATCCCGATCATCGGCTCCTTGAGCATCACCATCATAAGGTCAGGCTGTAACGTCATCAACTCTTCCAGCATCCGCTGGGGTAGAACGTTCTGGTAGGCGCCAGTATCGGGACAGTAGGGCACTTCGAATACTCCGTTGAGTCGAATCCATCGCTATTCGCGGTCATCTTCGGCTATCTTGGCTTTGACCGCTTTGACCGCTCGCTTCGCCTTCAATTCCGCCTTGCGTTGCTTGTACTTGAAACGCTTCACCGCATTCTTGCCCTTTCGAAGGTGATCTGCTCGCGCTGAGTCTTCCTTCTTGTTTGGGCATTCGCACGCACGGTGTCCCGGTTGTTGGCAGACGAAGTATAACGCTCCACGGTTGTCTTGGCCGGGGCCATACTTGGCTCGCTTTCTGGGCTGTTAACTATCTTCAAACGGACGCCGCGTTGCCGCTGGGGTCCCATACTTGTTCGTCGTCGGCCCTCCTGTCGCTCCATGAGCACGAGGAGGTCCGTCATGTCCACGTTCCACCGGGCTGGCTTGGTATAACCGCCTTTCGGGCGTGGGACGTTGCCATTCTGATAGTACGCTTCACGTTGATACTGTTCGTTCTTTCCAGTTCGCTGTCCCTTCTCATCCCAGTCGCGCCCTCGCTTTCGATCGCCACCCCGTGATTTAATTATTAACTCCGCCTGTACGTTCTTTCCAATTGTTCCGCCAGGATCTTGGAGAATTCCACCAGGGTACTGGCTTGGACTGTCTTCATCTTTTCCTTGACTCGATCGCGTACGTCGAATGGTGTGATGCATGATGCCACTACCTTGATGAAGGTCTTGAGCATGTTTGGGGCCTTGTGCTGTGACTTCCATCCCGTCGTATCGATGATGTTGTTCACTCGCTCCATATAGGACACATCACGACTTGCCACGTCGCCAAAGAGGCCCACACGCAATTTCTTGCATTGTTCCTTCATTTCGGCCTTTGTGACGGTCCACTTGTTCGCTGGTTCTCCAATGATCTTTCATATGCGCTCGCGAAACTCGCTTTCATCCAGGTCATCGATGTTGATGTCCCACAGGCACAGGCAAGCAGCTTCAACCATGCTGCGATCACCTGATTCAAGCCAGGGGACAGCTGTAGAGCACAAATCATGTTGCATTCTCTGGGCGTTATCCTTGAGCTTTTCTTCATACCGGCCACGTTTGCGTTTCCAGACCACCAGAGAGTCACGGTCAACAGTCGTGATGGGGGGGTACTCGTTGTCCTTGAGCACCAGTGAAGGTCCACTCTGATGTGGACCACTCACTGGAGTCCATCCTGCGTTCTCTGGTTGTGTTGTCCACTGCTGCGCTATTGGCTGCCATACGGGTGAGTCAAAAGCAGCTGCCCACCGACGCGCATGTTCCGCCTTGGCTTGGGCCACGTAGTTCATATTCTTTGGATTCGCTTCGCGATTCCGTCGATGTCGTTCCGCATTTGCCTTCCGACGTTCATCTTCGCTTTCATCGTCGTATGAACTATCGGGCGGGCCATCGGGACGATACGGTTTCACCGCATTGGCTCACTTTCACCGCATTGGCTCACTTTCACCGCATTGGCTCGCTTTCGCCCCTTTTTGGCATTCTTGATATCGAACCAGATCGGTCTTCACATCATCGTAGTTGCCCAACTTGATGTAGCCGCCTTCTAATAACTTGGGCATTGAATATGGCGCCAATCGATAGCTTCCTCTCTAGGGTGATGGGTGTTCTTCCTTGGTTTCATCTTCGATCGGCTGCATGGTCGAGGTCCCACTGGTTGGGACCTTCTCCAGCTCCGCTGTCGGTGCGTCTTCTTCTGTTTCTGCCCCTTTCTGTTCGGTCTGATGGCTTTCATGATTGCTCATCATGTGAATATGCGAGCGTCAAGTGGAACCTGAAAGTGTTGGTAATCCTCACCAGTGCGTTGTTCAATCGCAGCCTCGTCATCCAGTTGATAATAAATGCAGCTCGGTTTGTCGGATCGAAGGCCGACACGGCTGTGTGTTCTTGGTACCGGTGGAGCACCGCCGAGTGGCGTTTCCGGTCCACGATCATGGTCTAACCTTGACGTGAAGAGGGTGCTGGGACTGTGGGGTGCCATACCATCGGCTTGATGTCCGCCTAGAGCGACAATTTGGAGACCGCTTGCGGCGCGGCCGTGCATCACGCCATTAGTACGACACGTATGTACTGTACACTACACTTATATGAATGTCGCGAGATTATATAGTGTCAGATATAGATACATGTAGAATGCAGTGATAGTCGCTAGGTAGGTAGTTGGTATATATATCACGCCACAGCGTAAATCATTGGATGATTAACGTTATTGCAAGAATGTAGACAGGGACGTTGAATTACTGCAGGCTCACCCTACGTACTCGATATTACTTTTGAGTACAGATCCTACAGGCAAATATGCACTGCTCTGAATCATCCTGTCACGAACGTTATTAAAGCTTGAAGAATCTGTGTTCACGATGCCAACCTTCAATCAGATGTGTTGGAAAACCTCTCTATATTTTGCGTGGTGAAAGCACGTTTATAACAGTTTGTGTGTTGTGTGCATCGATAGGATAAATCGAAACCAGATTGAGTGATAGCATGTTACTGTTTTGCTTGTATTTGCTCGGCAATAATATTGCTTCGAAGTATTAATACTAGTTAGTACATATGATACAATATGTACCAGTTAGTACATATGATACAATATGTACCAGTAATGCTAACTCCCGTCCTAGCGAGTTAACGTTAACTTTGGCGATATGGCTAAGAGCATCCCCATCGGCTGATGTAGAAATGTAAAAATCTCCAAAGTACATCACTACATCAACAAAATTTACATTTTTCAGACCCACACCGGTTGCCAATAAATTTTACTACATCATAATGTAAACGCTCCATAAAACAGATTTCTCAACGGAACTATTGGGTCGTTTATAGTTCTATGCGATTGAGTTCCCAATGGACATCTACAACGAAGTCTGCTACCCCGACGTCCTGGAGCACGCCGGCAGCATGAATATGAATCTTACAGACAATAGAATGGAGGACTTCCAAAACCTACACAAATCGCCGATACAAACTATATTTGTCCGGATATGATGTGTATTATTTATTATTGTGGTCAAATTTGCTTCGTCACGTCACGCGATACCAGGGCCACCAAAACCCACGCAAGTAGCAAACTTTTCCTAATTCTATAGGGTGAAATTAATTTGAATCAACAGTTTATTGGATAAAATTCAATGGCAACGAGCACCAAAACGCTTCATGTAACATATATCATGAACCTCGCTTTGGTGCTTGTGGCCTCGCGACGACAGCGCCTACGTCGAAGCATGTATGCTCTACGAATCCGCAGACGGTTGAAAGAGCGAAACTTCATCAAGTCAGTTCCACTCTTTGAATCTCAAGAGATGAGTCCATGGTACACCATGTACAAGGCCCGAGATGCACAGTCATTTGTCGCGACTGTGTCGGTAACACCTGATGCGTTTGATTACATCGTATATTACTTTATCACGAGTATGCTGTGCTTTCACGACCAACCAATTCACTTCTGGCAAGTCCAGTTCGGTTCGGCTTCCCAAGTTCGTCAGAGGTCTCATATCTACATAATATACGTGAATACACAGTTTCAAATGTCACATACCCTTTGTTGGGGTAAATGGTGTCGGCGTGCATAGTGCTTCGTCTTTGTCCTCCTCGCACTCATCTCCAAGTGGGAGGACTTCTGCCTTTGTATCAATATCACGCGCAATTTGTTTGGCCCGTCGACCATCAGGCGGACACTTCGGGTTCCCGGTCTCGTTTAGGATTGTTGCGAAGCTTCTGGTACTTGCGCTTAAGAGACTCACCATCGCGTTGTCGGTATGCGCTACCTACCTTGCTTTATTTGAGCTCAACCTTAGCCCAGCCGTTTTTGCCAAGAGGCAATATCTCTTGGACGTGGTCGAGCAAGAGATCAACCGACGCCGTTTACCAACTCTTACCGCGCCCTTTGCTTGCTTTCGACATGACTCGTTGGAAGTTGAAACGCGATGTCCACGAATATTATTGGTGGGAACGTGAAGTCCAATAGTTGGCTTACCTCCTAATATTTGTATAAATA